GTGTGTGTGTACACATTTAGGTATATGTGCATGCACTTCAGGAAAGAGACCACTTAAATCATAGGCCAAGTGAAATGTGTTCAAAGTTGATGGAGCACTCAAAGGTGATCAGAATTGAACTGTCACCGGTTAATTCCAACCCCCAACATCCTCGGTTGGGATCCTGGAGCTTGCTCTTGAAAGAGCTGATGGTTAAAATGTCAGAAATTTTGCAAGTTGGTTACTGATTACATTAAAAATTAAATCATATAAACTCACAATTAAGTATTAAAAACAAAGGTTAAAATAACACACAAAGGTCATACTCAAAATTCATCATGTTTCGATTCGTTTACTATCATCGTTGCCCTTCAGGTGATTTCCATTTTTTGAATCTCTATGGTGAACATACTACTGATCGCCTTTTCCCAGCTCTGCACTTAGTGGCATCACAGCGGAGCTGGAACATGAGTATTCACACCTGCCGTGGCTCCTGCGACAGCGTTCTAAAAACCCAGGCCCTGGCCCTGCTGCTTCTCGCTCCCGCGCTGGATTGCACTTTGGGAAGGATTCCTGCCGTTGTGATGGTAGCCTACGGCGTCCTGGAGAGGCTTCAGGTGTTTAGCATCTGATGCTCAGATGGGAGAGCTACAGGGCCCTTAGCACACACATTTGGAACAAATTAGCTTTTACTTATTTATACACTAAAGTTTGGGATCTTTGCCATAAAAAATAAAATAAACATAGCAGATCTATAGGATCCAGTCCACCACATAGTCTTCTCTTGATACCCATAGGTCTACTATCCTTCCTTCCCTGCCCTGTTCTGTTAGGACTTCTATGGATGACACCAATCAGGGTCCCTGGCCTGCTAGGTTCCCAAGGGTTTCAGCCAATGGGAGGCTCAGATGGAAAATGGGAGGCGGGACAAGAGACAGGTCAGGGTATTTATGTCTAGCTCCCTCCTGGCCAGGGTGTGGTTGGCATTGGCTATTGAGTGGCTCTTCTGTAGGTATAGTTTCCTTTTTCTAAATTCCTTCTCTTAACCCTCTGCCCCTAGGGATGGTAAGTTTTCCCCTTCCTTGGACACCAGCCCATGTGCTTTACCTGTTGTTGGTTTCCTGAACCCTGCCCTGGCCCCTGTCCATAGCCCCTTCCTGAACCCTGCCCAGGCCCCTGTCCATAACCCCTTTATTAAACTTTCCTCAGGTCCTCCTTTGAGCAGGCTGGCTGTCTCCTCCTGGATTCTGACCCAGACCAAGCTTTTATTCTTGTGAGGCTTACAGGCCCCCTACCCTTCCTCATTGCACCCTTTCTCCTTACAGCTTGCCTCCATCACCTGAGACTGGTCAACGTTCCTCTCACACTCTGCCCTCCTCATCTATGTGCACTGCTTCTGCTGTGCCTTCGTTCCTCTGGGCCCTGATGCTCATACTGGCAGCAGGAAATACCCCTTGGGTCTGGCACAATCCTGGTACAGAGCCATTCTCTGGCTTCACATGATGGCTGACAGGCAATTATTTCCTTCAAATGGCAACCCTGTGCAGCAAATCATTAGTGTATTTTCTTCCTTGGGTGGAAACGTACCGAGGCACAGACGGCATGACGGAGGCCTCTGTGCTGGTGAGAAGAGTGGGAAAAGCTTACCTCGCTTCTCCCACAGTCGCCGACTGGACTGGGCGCTCCACCGACACCAGGGCTGCTTCTAGGAAAAGAGCCCTGTTTGTTGGGTCGATAAAGAAGGTGAGGACAGGGCTGGCCTGTCACTGGCTTATCGACTCCCCAAACCCACCAGAGGAGGGGCCGGGGAGCCTCCAGATCCACCCTCTGACTTAAGGAAGCAGGGTTTGTAAATAACAGGAACCAAACCATCCCTGTGGTCAGGTCTTACCGTCTCAACTTCGGTTCAGAGCAGGACATTCAAGGGCAAACCGTGTGCAGTCTGCTCTGTACTTACCAGCCCAGGTTATTCTGATGGATGCAGACAATGCTTTCTGGGAAATTCTCCACGCACCACGGGGGGGGGGGGGCTCGCAGGTCAGGAACCAATTAGTCAAGATCTGTGCGGCATCGGCGCCGAAGTGGCCTCCCCCCTCCCCCCGTTGGGAGAGGAACCAGTTCGGCATCACCGAGGGGAGGAAGGGCTCCCAGGCTCTGGACTGGATCGCACCGGTGACACTGCCATTCAGAACCTGCGCTTCTCGGGTCATGCTGGGTGGGCAGGGGCGGCTTCCTCTGGCCTGGAATGTACAGTCTCACGAACGGCAACTGCGTCCCCACGGGCGAGACTCAATTAAGCGGCTCCTCCCGCGGGGCTGCCCATTAGCATCACCTGGGGAGCTACCGCGGCAGGTCCCGCCTCCGAGGACCGCCTGTCATTAGTCTGGGCAAGGGCCTGGGCCCTGGGACCTTTTACAAATGTCCTTGTGGGATTTTAACGTGCACGCGGGCTTGTCTGACCCTCCGGCCACTCCTGAAAAAGGACCCAGGAATCCTTGTCCTTGTCTCGTGGGAGTTCACTGTTTAACCAGAGACACAGACAACTGTGCTGTTCAGGCAGAGAGCCAGGGGACTGTGGGCTTCTCGGTGTCTAAGGCTGTGAGGTACATCACAGTCAAGTCCACAACTAGCAGACTCCCCGGAACCCTCCCAGGGTTGGGGAGCGTGTGTGTGTGTGTGTGTGTGTGTGTGTGTGTGTGTGTATTCATTACCTTCTGGTGTGTGTTATGGTTTAGTCTAGAGCAGCAGTTGCCAACATCACTGGTGGTCCACAAGGTCCGAAAGGTTGGTGACCGCTGGTCCAGAGAGTCCAACTCCGCAGCCTTGACCCAGAGCCAGGCAGGTGAAGCCCAGGAGAGAGGCTGACTATGGGGTGTCCTGATGCTGTGCTGTGGGACTCACACCAGGGCTCTGGCCCCCTAAGCCTGAGGCCAGGCCCCTGCAGGCAGCTGCTTCCCACAAACCTAAAGGAAGGCCCCCCCACCCCCACCCAGAGGCTGAGCGCAGCCTCCAGCCCAGGTCAGAAGGGGGGAGAACACGGCCCCTGGCGGCGTGCAGCATGGCTGGCTGGTTGGGTCTGCCCTCACCCAAGTGGTCTTCCCTAAAGCAGGAGGTGTGGGGGGCGCCTCTCCCTCCAGGAAGCCTTCCGTGCCGGCCCTTGGGAGCTCCCTCTCATTTTACCAGGCTGCAGTGTGTCTGCCCTGGGGATGGGGCGTATCTGCATCGCTGCTGGGTCCTCGGTGTGCATCCTCGTGGCACAGCGCGTGTTGGTGGGCCGTACGGCTGAGTGGAAGTTGTGCCAGTCCTGCCCCATCCCTCAGTCTCGATTGGCTCCTTCCGGCCTGGAGCCTGGCTAAGCCACACCCGAGCCCTTCAGCAATCGGCACGGCTCCTTGGCGACGAGGTGCACTTCCACAGTCACACCCTGCCCCGCCATTGGGCCTACTGTGACCTGGTGGTCTTATAGGGCGTGCCCCGCTGGGCCCTGTGTGCCCTGCAGAGCTGCCCTTCGGACACCGCAGCCCTGGTCTCGGGAGCTTGCCGTTTTTCCACCAGCACAGCCAGCTTCGCATGGCCCGGGACCCGGGCACAGTTCTCTTCCAGGGCAGGCCTTTGCCAAATGGCTAGCGTTTGGGCTCAAGTGGGGACAGGACAGCAGAGACGAGAACAGCAGGGAGAGGGAATCACATTCCTGCCTCTGAGTGTCTGGGGAAGACCAGCCAGGTTGACAGAAGCATGGATAAACAGCGGAAGGACTGAATGACACACTTTATTAGAAACGTTCCTCATTCATCAGTCAAATTCACATTAAAGTGGGGGCGGCAGTGCCGTCTGGGGCTCCGAGATTCCACTGCTGGGACAATTTCCAGTTAAAAAGGAGTCTGGGCAGGGAGCATCGGAAACGCTCGCGAGATGTGCCCAGAGGAGGCGGTCTCAGCAGCAGCAGCATCCTTCCGGGAGGAGAGGTCCAGGCTTGGGGCAGGCGAAGAAGGTGCCTCCCACATCCGCCCTTCCAGGTACAGGGCTGCCCCCCGCGGGCCCCACGCTGATAAATAAACAGCACGTCACACACACACACCTTTGAAACAGACAAGCTCGTACAAGTCTCCTAAAGTGAAAAAATAATTTGCTCAAATAAAGCTTTGTGGCAACCGGGCTGCATCCTGAGTGGATGGTTGCCTAGAGACCCCTGGGCATCATCCACCAGGGGTTTGCAATGCCCCCAACCTCCCCATTAGCACCTTTGGACTAAGTAACTGCCCTCACTCCTCATACTCCTCTCTTACAATGCACCTGCTACATAACACAATAATAAACACTCTGTCCCTGGGGTGAATTCGTGAGACTCAGCTTCCCTGAATAAGCGGTGCCTGGGGCCAAGGGGGGGGGTGCAGTGGGTGGGTGTGGGGCAGGAAGGCAGTTGACAGGGGTAAGTAAACGACTTTCAGAGGTAAAGCCAGAAGGCGGCTAAACACTGCTCGGGCCTCTTGCCAGCTCTGCCTCGGGGCATCCCTTTCCAAGGGGCAAAGTCCTAGCATTTCCGGCTGCCCTGCCAGGGGTGAGGCCCGGAGGGACCCAGTGGCTGCTGTCATCATTCATTATTCAGGGGCGGCTTCTCCCCCAGCTGGCCCTGTCTGTCTGCTCGGGCACACCACAGAGAGTCTCCTGCCCCAATGTTTTATTCATTCTCTTGAATATGGAAACAGGCTCTCGGATCAATACGATCCGATCCGGTGGCTGCGGAGTCCAGCGGGCGGGCGGGCCTCCTCCCAGGGGGCTTGGCGGCTTCCAGGGCGGAGGCGGCAGGACTCGGGGGAAAGCTGCTTCTCAGGCAGCCAATACTGTTGGCAACAGACATTCATTTTTCAAAGTTGGGAACGAGTAGTACTGGCCTTTCAGAGAACAAAGTTCTGGGGACACCGGGGTGAGAAAGACGCCTTCCTGCGAATGTTCTGCGAGCCCGCGGAAGGGGCGGCCGGGCCCCGCGGCCCACGGCTGCCCACCAGCGCCCCCAGCGCCGCTCACTGGTACTGCAGGTAGCTTTTGAGAGCCGGAGGCAGAGGCAGGGAGCCGATGTCCTGCAGGCGCTGGCGGCCCAGGGCGAGGCGGATGGATCTCCGGCACAGGTCCATCAGCGGCAGGGGCTCGGCTGCAAGAGAGGGGAGCCGGTTAGAGTCTCGCCGGTGCCTTCTCGCACCGTCTTCCCACCCGTCCTCCCCACCTGCCCGCTGTGCACCGCTCACCTGCCCGCTGTGCACCACCCACCTGCCCGCCGGCCCATCTGTAAAGCGGAGCAACAGTTCACAGGTTTGCGGCGGGGATGGAAGGACGTGACCGGTGCACACAGTGCCTTGCCCGGGCCACAGAAAGAATGCAGCGGGAGCTCGGGAAGCGTCGGTCCCTGCGCTCTGGGTCTGTTGGCAGCGAGCACCACCCCGACCGGACGTGCCCTCTTCCTCCATTCAAACAGCAAGGATTTTTCCGTTTCATTCACTTAACGATGAGTTAGTGATTGTGAACTTCCTAAAGGATGTGACCCTGACTCATCTGTGCCAGGCCCCCGCTGAGCCTGTTGCCGGGATGACCCAGCGATCACCGGTTAAATGAATGGACGGACGACGACTTGCTGCTCCCGCCATCTCGCACCTTCTCCCCACCCGCCCTCCTTTGTGGTTATCTCCTCTGTCGCTGCTGGAAGCTACTGAAACAGACTGCTCTGACCGGCAGCTCTCCTGCCCTGTAAGCTCACCGAGAACAGGGCATGTTTTAACGGACGGGAGGCGTGTGGTGAGAGTTAAACGAGTTAGAAAGTGTAAAGAACTTAGCTCAGTGCTCAGCACATAGGAGGTTCCGTAAACTCCAAGCCTGGCGTTTACTGTCTCCCTCAGGCCCAGGCCTTGGTTTGGTTGCCCTGGTGAGGCAGAGCTGGGGAGGACTGCTACAGGGTAGACTCCGGCTGGCAGACAAGCTGTTCCTCTTCTGATGGGAGATGGGCTTGCATTTTATATCAGGGGAAGAAATTGAGCTGTTAAAGTTTGATAATCGTTGTCCGAGCTTAAAAGCTTTCTGCATCACGTTAATGCTCTAGGCACAGGTCCTCAGCGCCGCCCCCCCCCCCCCCCCCCCCCAATGCACAGCCTTATCAGCGCGCTCGGCTCCCTGTGTGTTCCCTGCCTAATGAGGAGCTGAATGGGAGGGAAGGTGGCCTTTTATCTTCACTCCTCCGCAATCACCGAAATCAATCCAGAGCCCAGACTCCAAAGGCAGAGAGAAAGGAGGGGCTGCCGTTCAGAGCACCTCTTTAGCTCTCAGTGTGAAATATCAATCCCCGCTCCTAATTCCCATGACCGCACGGCACGGCCACCCCCAGTGCACAGAGGAAGCCCTGGTGCTGCTGCGGAGCTCCCAGCTCGGAGGACACCAGCATCGCCGGGCCGCCCTTCCGGCTCCTCCGCCTCACCCACCGTGGCTTTGGAACTTCCCGGCGCTGTCAGATACCGAGGTTTAGAAATGGTGGGTGGAAGGGGCCCATGCTAATCCGACTGGCTCAGGGAAGGCCTGCCTAGCGGCCTTGTGGACTTAAGAGACCTGAAGTACCACAAAGGAGGGTCTGAAATGAAAACTTTTAAAATTAAAAAGCAATGTATTGTGAGTGGTCATGTCCTTGGCTGGAGTTTCCCCTGATAAAGATTAATCTTTACTTCAACTGGGCCTATTGTCTTTTTCTATCTATGGTGGCTTGGAATGTCAAAGTGATTTTCCTTTATCTGGGCCCCTCAAAAGCACAGGCACTGCTCTGTGGAGACCACAAATCCCCTCATTGTCATCGAGTTAATCGTTGACTGTTAACTACCCTGTGCCCAGCTAAGTAAAAGAAGTGTCTACCATTTTTACTTTTTATCCAATCCCTGCGGTTTCCCCACTTTGCTTTCTCCCGCCTCCCTAAACCATCACCAGTGGATTTTGTGTGACCCACTTATGTCTCCTCTTTGGATTGTAATGTGAAAAACAAGGTGCTAACCTGCCAATCTCCGGAGCATTATCTCAGTCCATTGAGATTCTGCTTCCTGGCAATTGTCGACAGTCTGGCTCAGATAAACTCAGAAAAAAATGCCTCACAGGTCTGAATGTTTCTTCCGTTAACAAAATGATCAACAAAGCGATGAGAGGCATTCTCAGAAAGCTTTCTGACTAAAGATAAAATTTAAAAAGAACCATTGTTTGCAAAAATGAATATCCAAACGGCCAATAAACATATGAAAATGCGTTCTACTTCCTGAGCCACCAGGGACATCCAAATTAACGCTATACTGTGACTCTCCGAGATGCCAACCAGGATGGCTAAAATGAGAATAAGACAATAGCAAGTGTTGGTGAGGATGTGGAGCAACGGGAATTTTCATAATGCTACGGATACACTGGCACGCCCACTTGGGAAAACCGGAGGCATCTCCTAAAGCTGAACCCTGTGGCCTGCAATTTTACTCCCGGGTGTACACATGCTCACCCAAATGCACGTACAGGGATACTCATGGAGGTAACCAACTGCAAACAACAACTTTACCATCCACCAACAGTGGGATGTCAACATAAATGTGTATCTTCACAGAGTCAAATACTAACCCGCCATGAAAATGAAGGAACCGCAAGTGCATGCAAAAATATGGACGAATCTCTCGCACATAAGTATGAATGAAAGAAGAGTACATTTTGTGTGACTTTATCTGTACCAAGTCCAGACACACAGAGGGATGACGTCAGGCAGGGGTAGGTGGGGAGAGCAGTGGTTGGAATGGAGCACGGCACGACGGAGCTCCTGAGGGGCTGGTATTGCTCCCCTTGATTTGATTTCTGCCTGTACCAGTGCATTCCATTTGTAAAAACCATCAAGCTTACTCACCTGAGATGAGTACACTTTCTGAATAAATGTCAAGAATAATTTCACAGCCGAAACCAGTTTGGCTCAGTGGATAGAGCATTGGCCTGCGGACTCAAAGGTCCCAGGTTTGATTCCTGTCAAGGGCATGTACCTTGGTTGCGGGCACATCCCCAGTGGGGGGTGTGCAGGAGGCAGCTGGTCAATGTCTCTCTCTCTCATGATGTTTCTAACTCTCTATCTCTCTTCCTTCATCTCTGTAAAAAAAAATCAATAAATATATATTTTTAAAAAATGAAAAATAAATAAAATGACTACATAAATTTCATCTTTAAAAAAAAGAAAAGAATATTTCACAGTAAAACAATGAGTGCTTCATTCAGCTCCCTGTCGGTTGAGTGTGGAAACAACACAAGCCAGGGAGGGCAGTGTAGGGAGAGGGGGGCTGGCTTGGGGTCCTGGCTCCCGCTCCCACCACTAGTGGCCAGAGCTGGCTCCCCTTCCTGGAGCCACGTTCTCCTCCTCCGTGGAGTGGGGAGAGCTGAGGCCCCCATCCTGCATTGTGACGATGGCAAGACAGAGCATGCTCCTTCCCTGAAAGGCAGTCTCTTATTTCATGCCACGAGCCTAGGAAGTACGTTTAAAAATAGTCATAATTTGCTTGTTGTGGCTCACAGACGCCTCGGTACATCATACTAATTGTCGACGATGCTGTGCTCCGGTTGAAGATTTATTGGATCCGGCGCTGGATGTCTGGTTCTGTGTTAAAAATATCACCAAGCGATCATTTCCAAAGTCCTCCGGTGTCCTCTATTTCCCATGATTCCTCATCACTACCCCTTGCACGGCCCCGAGGAAGCCCCGTTACTTCCCAGGACTCTGTTGTGCAGGCAGTAAAACGGGGGCGTTGGCTGTCGGGCTGTGATGGTCGATGACTGTAACAGGAACGAGGAGATCTGGGCACAGGGTCTGAGTACTGGGACCGGTAGCTTCGGCTGCTTCCCTGGGCCCCTCCTAGTTCCTCTGCACGCAGTGGGGAGATGCTAAGACACGAGTCCCCACCCTGTCTCCACCCCTGCGTTTATAGTTTGGAAAAAGTATCAACGTTTTAAGGTCAGGAGGTGCAATTCTTCTGCAACAGTTGAAGGCAATGATCAGCAGGTAGAGGAAGGTTTGAGCAATGGCCCTGAAGTCGGAACGTAAGTAGACCGGGCACTGTTGTTGTTTTCAGGAAGAGAAAAGAGAAGACACACATGTGGGCATGTACACACACTCTGTGGGTCAGACACATCGCTAGTCACTTATCTACAGCCCGTGGCTTCGGTGTCCGAGGATGGAATTGCCCGCTGGCCTCTGGGCCTCTCCTGCAGCTCCCTCGGCTGGAACTCCGGCCTTGCACGGCCTGCCGGGCCTGCCTCCTCTTTCAGGAACCAAATCAAGTGCTTCCTCCTCCCCAGTGACTTGGCTCCTCTGCCCTCGGCCTGCACCTGGCAGGTGTCAAGCCACTGAGGTACCTACACAAATGGACATGTGTATCATTGTCCGCTCACCTCTCTGCTACAGCATCCCTGTGCCTGTTGGCCCTGGCGTGGCCAACAGAGACTCGGCTCACGCCTAGAAAGCATTTGGAGTTTTCCCTTAACAAGCCTCCCCATTTCCCGAGGAAAGAGGGTGGTGACGACAGGTGGGACACAGCAGCGTCTTAGATGAATGCTGTGCCGACCAGCGTCATTGGCCCAGGTGGACCCCAGCGCCCAGGTGGGACCTCATGCTTCCTGGGGATTGAGAGTGAGCAAGTCAAGATCACACGGGGATCTCCAACACGGCAGAACCCAGGATAGGGAGTGCTGGAAAATGCCCCCTGAACTGGGGAGCTGTGCCCCTCCCACCCAGACTGTCCCGGGACCTACCGAAGAGATGTGTGTGCGTGTGCGTGTGCGTGTGCGTGTGCGTGTGTGTGTGTGTGTGTGTGTGTGTGTGAAGGCCCTGAGAACAATGCTGTGAAGCAGAAAAAGCAGTTGGCAGGCTAGACATCGGGATGGGACCGGAGGGTGGAGATACCGAGCAGAGGACAGGTAGCCCTACACCCTAGGGGTGAGCACGGCTCCCACCAAAGGGGCCCCGAGAAGCCCCAAGCTCCTGCAGCAAAGGCCGAGAAAGGGGAGTCAGTGGAACTGAGAGAAGGCGGTCGCTGAATGATGGGAAGATCCATTGGACCTTGATGCTTGGAAGAGCCTCCTCACAGTGGCCTTCATTTCTCTAAAGCCCTCCCA